TGCAAGGCTGCTCTCTGATTTTCAGACGCGACAGCGAGCCTCCACTGCTGAACATCACCGTTCCTACCAGCCAGGAATCCTCCAGTCCTCGGCGCACTAATCCCAAACGCAGCCTGTGCTACTGATCTGCTCCACGCAGGGCTCTATATGCTGCCTGAGCAGCCTGCGGCGTGGTTTCCTCAAGCTACCTAGCTGGGTTCTTCCTATCAGCATTGCTGCAGTAACGAGGGCAGGGAGCGCCGGCTGCTCCGATGGCTCCCGTGATCCAGATGTCCCCCAGCAGCAGCAGTCCTGCCCCACACCCACACTCTTCTGCTGAACACTCGTCTCTCGGAGAGCATCGTTATTTGAGGGGACACGTAGTTATTCAGCAGCCGCCTCGGGGTGGAGTTTTGTTGTGACCCCAAGACAGATTTTACTACATTTCAACTCAACGGCGTTGAGTTGTGCTCCGTCGCCAACCTGGGGCAGTCGACTGATTATAAAGCAAGTATTTAATCACCTTAACTCACTAGAGACTTAAATAAAGGCACTTCAGCACCACAGTCCCTTCATTCCTTAGTCTAATCGAGGTTTCATTACCTCCTGGCTACCGGATCATTGTTTTGAGGCACAGGTACCTGACAACTTAGGACCTAGGGGTACCTCTGCACCAGCCTTCATTTGTATCCGGCAGCATTCGTCCATTCATCTCTTCGCTATACAGATAATGATCTCTGGCTTCAGCAACAAATAAGATTTGAATATTGATCCACTTCTCCCTGCTACCCCCAATTTAGACAAACCAATTCACCAGCAAGTGACAGTCACTTCTCCCTGATATCCCCCAATTTAGATAAATGAATTCTTTAACAACCAACAGTCATCCTCATTTAGTAAAGCACTATGAAGATGCACTATAATAGATGTGTTCAAGTTTCCTATGGAGAAAAAATATTGTTTTAATAAAAGGGGCCACTAACTGGTGCACTAGTTCAAGTACAAATCGTATTACAGGTAAAATTTGATCCCCCCAGTCTTGCTGGGGGCCACTGAGGACCTGACACAACACAGTAAAAGGGAGTTTGCTAAATATCTGTTCAGCCAGGGAGAGAGCTGATTTGCTTTGTGCTCAGTGATTTGGCTTGGCTTTCAACACTGCCTATTTAAATTCAAAAACTGGCAGGCACGCTAGCATATTAAGGTCTATCAAAATTCATATAAGATTTATAATCAACATAATGTAGTATATAAATTGACTTTAAGGACTGAAGAAGTCACATAGGCAGTTTAAGGTCTGTAGCAGCAAAAAGAAGACATCTACATTTTCCCTGTATTTTCTAATATGACATTTCATGGGTTTAGGCACTGTTTTTATACTGTTATGCCAGGAATGCAAATATTTCATAGAACTGTTTATGAGTTTGAATAGAATTCTGTGCATTTACATTTCTCTGTAATTCAGTAAAACCACATTAAACAATATTTCCACCAAAAGCAACCTGACAATCCTCCTAACAGGCTCTTCCAACCCAGCCCCCCCCATTTCAAAGACCATTCACTTCCAAAGTCCTCACGTCCCCTGAGGTACGTTTTGACATTAACAGCCCATGCTTACAGTCTAGAGTTTCACGAAAATCAAGCGAGACACTGTCCTGCATTTCAGCATACACTCAACACCACTTCTAGTTTACAGATTTCCCCAGAAAACACCTACCAGCTCCAAAGGAATCAAGGCATCAGAACAGCATACATCCATATTGACACATATATGTAGCCAAGGCTGTGACTGCTTAGACCATGGGAATCTCTTCGAGAAACCTGGTATGCCGGGGGCTGAGGGGGCCCATCTGGCAGAGAAGAGGAGAATCTTCGGCCACGGGCTTGCCAAGCTGGTGAAGAGGGATTTAAACTAAAGTTGCTGGGGGAGAGGAACATCAACCCATCCCACTCCTACCAGTTTGATGCCAGTGCCGGCAAGAGATGCCCAGAGCCTGGAGAGGGGTCACAGGGCAGCAGGGGAGCACCTGAAGAGCCGCACAAAAGAATTCCAGCCAGAAAGTCAGCTTCATCAGGGCCCGGCTTAAATGCCTCTATGCAAATGCGTGTAGCATGGGGAATAAACGAGGAGCTAGAGAAGCGCGCACACCTCCAGGGCTACGATTTATCGGCATCACAGAGACGTGGTGGGATGGCTCCTGTGCCTGGAGTGCTGGAGTGGAAGGGTACGGGCTCTTTAGGAAGGACAGGCAGGGGAGGTGAGGAAGGGGGTCGCCCTCTATGTCCACGACCAGCTGGAGAGCAGGGAGCTCTGGCTGGGGACGGGCGAGGAGCCGACCGAGAGTTTATGGGTCAGGATTAAAGGGAGGGCAGGGACAGGAGCCGTTTTAGTGGGGGTCTGCTACAGGCCACCTGACCAGCAAGACCAAGCGGGTAAGGCCCTCTCCAGACAGATGGGAGCAGCTTCACATTCACAAACCCTGGTCCTCAGGCGGTACCTTCAACCACCCCAACATCTGTCGGAGAAACAACACAGCGGGGCATAAGCGATCCAGGAGGTCCCTGGAATGAGCTGATGATAACTTCCTTCTCCAAGCGATAGGGGAGGCAAGGAGGAGAGGTGCTAGGCTGGACCTTGTTCTCACCAACAAGGAGGGGCTGGTGGGAAATGTGGAGCTCAAGGGCAGCCTTGGCTGCAGTGACCACAAAACGGTGGAGTTCAAGACCCTGAGGGCAGCGAGGAGGGCGCACAGCAAGCTCACTACCCTGGACTTAAGGAGAGCTGACTTTGGCCTCTTCGGGGATCTGCTTGGCAGAGTAGCTTGGGATAAAGCCCTGGAGGGAAGAGGGGCCCAAGAAAGCTGGTTGATATTCAAGGATCACCTCCTCCAAGCTCAGGAGCAATGCACTCCGACAAAGAGGGAGTCAGGAAAGAACACCAGGAGGCCTGCAGGGGTGGACAAGGAGCTCCTGGGTCAGCTCAGGCATAAAAAAGGAAGCCTACAGAGGGTGGAAGCAAGGACAGGGAGCCTGGGAGAAAGACGGAGAAATTGCCCAAGCAGTCAGGGATCCGGTTAGGAAGACCAAAGCCCTGGTAGAATTAAATCTGGCCAGGGAGATCCAGGGCAACAAGAAAAGCTTCTAAAGGTACCTTGGTGATAAAAGGAAGACGGGAAAACCTGGGCCCGCTCTGGGAGGAAATGTGAGACTTGATTACCTGGGATATGGAGAAGGTTGAGGTATTCAATGATTTTTTTTGCCCGTCTTCACCAGCAAATGCTTCAGCCACACTGCCCAAGTCACAGAAGGCAAAGGCAGGGACTGGGAGAATGAAGAACAGCCCACTGTAGGAGAAGATCTGGGTTCCTTAGATGGTCTCGAACCTAAGGCACACAGGTCCATGGAACCTGATGAGATGCATCCACGGGTCCTGAGGGAACTGGCAGATGAAGTGGCTAAGCCACTATCCATCTCATTTGAGAATTTGTGGCAGTCCGGTGAGGTTCCCATAGACTGGAAAAGGGGAAACATAACCCTCATTTTTAAAAAGGGAAATAAAGAGGACCCAGGGAATGACAGATCAGTCAGTCTCACCTCTGTGCTTGGCAAGATCACGGAGCAGATCCTCCTGGAAACTACGTGTCATTGCTTGAGCCCAGAGAGCAACTGAGCCCCACGCAGCTGCTCGCTCATGCCTTCATGCCCTCAGGAATAGGAAGGAGAAAATAAAAGCAAAAGGCTTGGGAACCAAGATAAGGACATGGCTTCACCAAGGGCAAATTGTGCCTTAAATCTCGTGGACTTTGAGGGGGTTACAGCACTGTGGACAAGGGAAGAACAACTGATGTCATTTACCTGGACTTGTGCAAAGCATTTGACACTGTCTCGTACGACATCCTTGTGTCTAAATTGGAGAGACGTGGATTTGAGGGATGGACCACACAGCGGATAAGGAATTGGCTGGGTGGTCACACTCAGAGCTTCGGTCAACAGCTCGATGTCCAAGTGCAGAGCAGTGACGAGTGGCATTCCTCAGGGGTCAGTTTTGGGACCAAAGCTGTTTAACATCTTTGTTGGTGGAATGGACAGTGGGATCAATACACACCGACAGCACCGAGCTGTGTGGTGCGGGGACACGCGGGAGGGCAGGGGTGGCATCCAGAGGGACCTGGGCAGGCTGGAGAGGGGGGCTGTGTAAACCTCATGGAGTTCAAGGCCAAGGGCAAGGTGTGCCCAGGGGTCGGGGCGATCCCCAGCACAAATCCAGGCTGGGCGAGGGGTGGCTGGAGAGCAGCCCCAAGGAGAGGGACTGGGGAGTGTTGGTGGGGGGAAAACTGCCCGTGAGGCAGCACCGTGCGCTCACAGCCCAGAACCCACCCGTGCCCTGGGCTGCAGCCAGAGCAGGGGGGGCAGCAGGGCCAGGGAGGGGATTCTCCCCCTCTGCTCCGCTCTGGGGAGACCCCCCTGCAGTGCTGGGGCCAGCTCGGGGGCCCCCAACAGCAGAAGGACCCGGAGCTGCTCGAGCGGGGCCAGAGGAGGCCACAGAGATGCTGGGGGGGCTGGAGCAGCTCCCCTGGGGGGCCGGGCTGAGAGAGTTGGGGGGGTTCAGCCTGGAGAAGAGAAGGCTCCGGGGAGCCCTTCGAGCGGCCTCCCAGGGCTTAAAGGGGGGACAGGAAAGGTGGGGAGGGACCCTTTATAGGGGGGGTGGGGATAGGATATGGGGTAATGGTTTTAAACTGGAAGAGAGTAGATTTATATTAGACTTAAGGAAGAAATCCTTCCCTGTGTGGGGGGTGAGGCGCTGGCCCAGGGTGCCCAGAGCAGCTGTGGCTGCCCCCTCCCTGGAAGGGTTCAAGGCCAGGTTGGACGGGGCTGGGAGCACCCTGGGCTGGGGGAAGGGGGCCCTGCCCGGGGCAGGGGGTGCCACTGGATGGGCTTTAAGGCTCCCCCTAACCCAAACCATTCTACGATTCTATGAAATAACATTTAAAACCTAAAATAAAATACTTTTTCTCTCCAAGTAACATTTATTTTCCTTTTTTTTTTTTTAAAAAAAAGGTCTTTTAACACTCACTTGTAGACCAAATGAGAATATGCAATAGCCATGTAAAAAAGCATCCCTTCATCTACTTAGAAAAATATATACATCCTTCAAAACAAAAGCACACATGGATTAGTTACAAAGCAAAAGCTCTCGGCTGTACAATCCTAGGGGTTTCCATGTGTGCAAACATGAACATACCTGTGCGTACAAGAAAAGCAGCACACAGCTGGCAAACTGTTTGTTCAGGTGGTTGTGCCTTAAAGCCTTTTTTAAAGACTTTTAGCAAGGAAAGGCTAGCAAATCCCATCAGCTGCATGTTACATGAGCCTCTCCTGGCTGGTGGAAAAGTTTCCTGCATTTCAATGTCTCCTAAAGGTTCTGCTTGTTACATGCCTAAGTGTCTACAGCCACTGGCTAATTCTTTTAGCAAATTTCATTCTTAAGACTTGAAATCAGCTCTGGACTCACGAGGAGTCACAAGAGAGGGCTCGATGGCAATCCAAATTATTGCCTAAAGAGTAAGCAATGAACAGGCACAGGCTGAGCGCTTTTCTGGCGTAAACAGCTCCATTTGATCCCTCTGTCAAGTGACTGAAGAGCACAAAGAACTGGAACTAAGGATATCAGCGTGGCATTCACAAAAATAGTTGCAAGAACGAGATGGAGAAACCACTAGCAGACTTTGGCAAGGAAATTTTAATGTCAGTTTTCACTCACTAAAGTTGTAAAAAAGAGACTGATATTCAAAGGCTACGAGGTGAAATTTAAAGGCTTTTGTTTAAAAATGAGAAACGGGGACAAGTACCGATAAACACCACCTTTTCATACCACCCAAAATGGTAAGACAAGTTACACAGGATTTCCCCCACTTCACCATTAAGAATTAAATCAACCGTAAATTAGAGGGATGTCAAAAGACAGTTTTTAGGGATGGTAGCAGCAGGCTCTGAGGCTTCAGCTTACTGGTCAACCCCTCCTTCCAGTGAATCGAGGATTTGATGTTAGGTTTTTCTTTTCTCCTTTCTACATAGGCAGTATTAATCCCTTCCTGTTAAACCCCAAGATGTTTTTCTAATAGAATACAATTCTGCTACATATTCTACTTTTACAATTAGTAATTTGATAGATCCAGCTTAAATTAAGATGAAAAGACATCAATTAGTACCATTTTAATAGACTACCAGATTTCATACTATAAATCTCATTATGTTTTGTAGAAAGTAATTAATTGGAAAGTCAGTGGCAAGAACACATACAATCTGTGCACATCCAGATGAATTTAACTATAATACAAAATTACTAAAATTAGTAGCAAGTCTCTTAGCTTTAATGGAACTCAATTAAAAAAAAAAAATAATCAGCATTTTCACTTAGCAAAGTAGCCAATTCATTCAACCCTCATGCAACCGATTTCAAAATGTTATGTTGGCTTAAAACAAAAGATCCAAAAAGTTTCAGAAAAATAATGTAGCTCATAATTACTCACTGGGACTAGACACTGGTCCTTCATTGGAAGCCCATAACAGCAGGATTGCAAAACTAAATTTACCTCAAGTTTGAATGAATTTTGATCACATCATAACCAACTTATTCTCTCCACCCCCTCTATTTTCCCCTGTGTGAAACCTGAAGCTCCTAATTATGAAAACCAATGTCCAGTTCATCTTCAAACAGGTAAAAAAAAACTTAAAAACAGTCAGGATACTGAGACACTTCATCATGTGTCACCCAAAATCAAATCAAATTGGCCAAAAACTGACAGCCTCGATGAAGGCAGGAGTCATCAGACCCTCTCCACAAAGGTTAATACATTCTTCCTGTGCATTCTTACATATTCCAAAAGTCACAACAGAAATTAAGTGTCACTTCTCAAAGAAATCTTTGTTCTAAAGACAGCTAGGACAATGCAGGATTCTCACAATTAAAAGGACAAGTGTCATTCCTAACTTTGACACTCCTGCCATTAAGACAACAATAATAATAATAAAAAAAAAAAGATTCTCCAAACCACATCCTTTCTTATTAACAGGAACAGCTGCTGTCAAAGCATTTCTCCTGCCATCTCCCCATGTCTGCCAACAGAAAAGTTAGAGCAAATCAGGTATCAGGATCCACAGGACATTGGATTTCCTTTGGTTTATAGATCTGGCTTGCCACAGGAGGGCTTGAACACATTTTGGGGGGGATACTTCCAAAAACAGAGGGATTATGCTTCCCTACTAGCTCAGTCTAGTGTATCTTGAAGTACATAGTCCTAACTCCCCTGAAGCTCTGTGACCACCTAAGATGTCTTCTCCTAAAAATTTATGACAAAAAAAAAAAAAAGGAGATTGACTGATGATATGGGGAATGATGGGATGGGAAGAATCTCTAGGAAGTCTACAGTTTGTCAGATGTACAGAACAGACCAAGGAAAGCTTGAAAAACTAAATTAATTTTCTCTCACAGTCTGTCAGTCACGTCAGGATTTTACTTTATCTATAAAACAACAATTTAAAAATATTAGACTGACCCAAAGTTATTTCAGTACCTACTAGATGAGGTGCTTCTGGCTACTCATGCCTCCATGGCAGAATATCAGAGTGTAAGTACACCCATGCACTTGAAGTGTCTCATTTACCACTGCTCTGAGAGACATCTTTTCAAATGCTTCAGCTCAGTGGGAGTTTCAGAAGCATTAATCACCTCTGAAGCAGTGGCAGAGGTATAGGGGTGTCTTTGGTTGGCCAATACCTTTATCTTGCTTTTTGTTTCAGATAAAGATGACTTCTACAGGTGATCTTTGATACTCTTTCATCATCTGTTCTTCTACAGTTCTTCCTCCCCCCTTCTTTATTCTGGTTTTCAGTGTTTCTTTTTTATTCCCCCGTGAAATTCATCTGTGGCACTGCTTGCACTCTTGAGTTTACAGGTTCAAAAATGATTTACAGGAGAAGCTATTACTGCGTATATCTCCCAATCTGTAGCCTCTGTTCCCTTCCTTCCTGGTCTGAGAAAGGAAGCATGACTCAGCTCACAGCAAAAAGAGCAAGTTCATATAAATAAATTAAAATGGACAATGACCAATCCCACCTTTTGTTATGCAGCTTCTATTTACATGCAAGTATACAAAGCAAGATTTTTAGAAAATGTTATGATTTAGTCAGACCTGAGCCACCAACTCATTCACCTATCAAGTTTTTAAGTAAAAAATGAACTGTTAAATGCATTAAACTCTGCCCCGATCAACGTGGCAAGAAAGCCTATTAAATGTGCAGCACCTCCAGACAAAACAGTTTTTCAGCAGGACTTTTAATCCCTTACCAGTAATCAATTACCCTTCAAGCTCCCGTATCACATAATTAGAAGTGCTTCCAGAAGGTGACTGGTAATTCATCAGGAGACTAGGTTTTCCTTCTTACTAACGCCACTCTTTTGACCTTTTTCTGCAAGATCCTGCACGTACTGACAGCAAAGCCATTTTTCCCTTAAACATTTCTCCCTCTGAGCAGGTTTTTCCATGTGTACTACAAACTTAAAACTAAACATTAATACACACAACTTAGGCCTCAAAATTTAGCTCTCAAGGGAGCAATACAGAAAATAAAATTTTACTCCCTTAAAGGAACAGTCAGTTACCAATTTCATTATTTTTATCCTTAGGGGGGAACCAACTGAAATCTTAATCATACCTTCCCAAAGAAAGTTATCACATACTTCTCCAACTTAATGCTCCCACAGTGGTACCCAAAGCATTTCTTGATACACAAATCTGTGCACAATCACATTTTTAGCCTGAAAAACATTTGCAGTTCCTCATTAATAGCTGCTGCAATAGACAGATACAAGTCTTTGCTTTCACTCAGGAGTCTCAAACTATTTTAAGGAGGGCCCGTAAGCCACTTAAAAATAACATTGTAAGAGCCCATTCATTGATGGGGAGACAAAACCATACAATAGCCTGTCAAAAACCATACAGCCTGCTGCTCTTCACATAAAGAAAATTAAAACCAAAGAGCATCTTTCCCTGGACACTTCTGCTACTGCCTACAGGCAGTCATTTTTAACCCAGCCTTTGTGAGACAGCTACTTGCTCACAAGACACTCATCCCTCAAGTCTTACATCAGGCTTGCACACTGCTGAGCATTCTGGCCCAAACCTCACATTTCTGCTTCTACCAACGCTGGAAAAATACACTGGTGTGTCAAAACTTCCACATTTTGCTCTGCAGAAGAGGGCTAATGTCACACAACAGGGTCCCCCCGTCATCTGGCCTGATGCAACAGGTATAAACCACCATACCACCTCTCATCAAAGGCCACAGTTCTGAGCCAGGTGTGAGTTTCTGAGTCAGAAATTCGCTCAGAGCACTGTGACAGAGAGGCAGTTTCTCCACTTCAGTCACTGGCCCTCCCAAGTTTCCCCGTGCCCAAGATTGAAGCCTGGGGCTACTGTAGGACAGGCCAATATGGTGCAAGTGGGATTGATAGCTCAAAGCACCCTCCCAACAGTAACAATGTCACATCAAGGTTTTACAGTAACATTACCTTCACATTAACAATGCTTTTAACACCTTCTACCTGCCTGTGAAACAAGGTCTAGCAGCAGCAACTTGCCCAATTCTAGAATTATTCTAAAGTGCAATACTGCTAGTCCTTTGCTACTGCTTAGCTTGCACAATCAAATGGAGTTGTCTCTTTGCAATGGCTGTGTTTAAATCCCACAAGAAGTCCAGCAGTTTGCCCTGGAGGAGAACTTCCATAGGCACAAACTGCAAAACCTGCTGGGGAGAGTCCGTGTCTAGGAGAGAGCTCATTAGCTTGTTCAGATGCTGCAGATACTCAACAACTGGATTTGGGAGGCCTCGGTAACCAATGCACAGCAAAGCAGCACTAGTCCTTAAAGGCTCATGGGAGGTAGGACAAGCAAATGTGATGCATCTGAAACAGCAGTGCAGTATAAAGACCAGGCCAGCTGTGAAGCGTGTAAAGCAAGAGAGAATGGGCAAAATCAGCGCATCTCCCATCGTAAGCTGATTCAACGAATGCAGAACACACTCCAAAAGCTGCTGCTGGTACTTTGGTTCTCCATCATAAAGCGAAGAGAAGCTGAAAGTCACCAGTGTGGCCGAGTCCAGGACCTTTATTTCCATACTGGGTTGGCTTTCAGTATCACAGAGGAATGGAAAGTCCACCACAAGGCACTTGAATTGGTCACTGCATCCTTCATTTAGGACCTCCTGATGACACCGGGAAAGATCAGACACTTCTGCCAGTATCAGCTCCCCAGGAAGAACTTCACACGAGTGACAAGTCTGCGGCATTTGTCTGCTTTTCAGCCTCCCCTGCACCAACTCGTTCATAGCTTCATTAAGATTTTCCAAGACTTGACCATCACAAAACGGAGAACATTTTACCACTGGTAGTCTTTTTCCTTCCAAAATGTACCACAAGCTACACTCGAGGTTACAAGACAATCCTTCCAGGATGCACATTTTACCAGCATTATTTAAACTATGTTCTTCAGCCCAGTGATTAAAATAGCCCTTTGCCACTTTATCATTCCATGTAAGGGTTTCCAGCATCTTCCTTTCGTTGTATGTACTAAAATATTTGTTTCTTTGCCCAAACCATTTTGCATTCATGCTGCAACCAGTCTGAGATTTCTTGACAAGCCAGTTATTTCTGGCAATGGGTTTCATATGAAGTCTTTGCACGAAGAACTCTACTGCACAATCTCTTAACTTGTTCAGTTTCATCTGCTCTGCTTCTTCCATACGCTCAAAGAGATGGATGTTCTCAGAGATAGTCTCTACCTGGCACTTGTGGAAGAACATGCAACACTCCTCATGTGTTTTAAGAAAAGATTCTGGTAGCATATGCTGGGGAAAAAGCGCTTTGTTGACCATTTCTGTTCCAAAGTTCTGTATCATCTTAGAAAGCAGCAGATGAATGCTTTCTCTGCCCATATAACGAAGACAAATCACATAGGCCTCTGAGTTTCCGGCTTTGCTAGTGGCTGGCTTAAAGACATGGACCTCCTCAAAAGAGCAGTTTAGCAGAAAGAGCAGATTGGTAGAACAGTGTTCAAACAGAGTGAACATCTTCAAAACAAAGGATCCTCCAGTGCTCAGGATCATTAAAGCAGTGACTGTTTCACAGTAAAGAAGGGGTGAGACAAGAGCCTCCTGTTCTCCAGGATTTCCCTGGCAATCAAAGCTGCCATCAGCAGTTACTAAGTGAACCGTGGCCATGTTACTTACAAAGTTTTGAAGCCCTGTTAGATGTTTTAATGTCATCACATCGCCGGTGTTATCTGGGCCAAAGTACCACCAAGGCAATGTATTTGCTATAAGACGGTCATCCATGATCATCGTAAGGGTGTCATTTGCTTCATGATACGGGTTTAAAGTATTAGCTACCCAATTCCAGTCACAAGGGATATGGTGGGATTTCAAGTAGTGGTTGAGGCTGGCTATAAAAGCTCCAGGTGCTTCACAGAGGTGGACAGAATTCAGTTCTCCATCCTGAAGAGCTTCTTCAGGAAGAAGAGGAAAACTGCACAGGATCTCATGAAACTTGCACCACGCCTGGGTACACAGCTCAGCATTCATAGATTTCTTCACATGAGGAATTATTTTCCCCGCTTTATTGGTAAACGAGGTGTGCTGATGCCATTCATCCAGGTTCTTATCACTCAGTTGATTCTTCACTTCATTCATTGAGTCCTTCAGAGCCAGGAGTGAGTTGAATTCCTTGTGATCGCATGTAAAGGCATCACTGGGATCTGGTAGCTGCCATTCATCACTCACTGGCTTAGTGTAAGTAAACTTCTTTGCAAACAGCTTCTCAGTTTCAGAAAGAATTTCAGGACTGAACTTTTCAAGGTTTATAGTTTGGTCAACATAAGGCTTCTTACATTTGTTCATTCTCGGATTGATTCACAATCTGGAGAACAGTACGGGAGAAGAAACAATGTCACTCCAATCATACATGTATATAACTAGACAAAGCTTTTTTAAAAAAAACTAAACATTTCTCCTGTTTAACCTCCTGTTTACCTGTTTAACGAGAGAAATGTTTTACAGAATCATACACCAATGAGGAAAATGAGAGCTATCCTGAATGAGGCTATTTGGAAATCAGAAGGCTCACTGGTTCAATGACCCTTCATGCTATTTACATAGAAAGTAAAGAGGAGCTAGCTGCTGCTTGTGCTCTTCACAGACCACTGAATGCTCTGCTCACTTTACAGGTGTAAACACTTAAATACAAATCTCTCCATCACAAAAGAGAACATACCACAAGCCATACAAATTAAGTGGCACAGAAATCTTTTCATCTGATTATGGTAGTATTTATCTGAGAGGTCAAAGTACGGAAAATGGGGAGCTGCAAGCAAAGGCAGCTTTGAGGCAGAGCAGAGCAGCTCCTTCTCCTATTTACTAATAGCTAACCCTCACATCTCTTCCACCAAGCCCCGTATGATGCTGGGAGAGCCCCTTCAGCTGAAGAGACCCTGGCAAGGGGTTTAACACCAGCCTGCAATTAAAACCCCTTTCCTGTGCTCAGCATTACAGCTCTCTGCTGGGCCACTGCAAACCCTTAGACCTAGCTTTCCCTACTGGAAAAACAGTGATTAATCCAAAGTGAGAAGATACTTTCTTGCATCCATGGTCAATGCTAACTCGTGCTTGATGTTAAAGAAAGTAATACAAAGCATCGTGCTTTGCATGGATAAAGGCAGACTAACATGAGCATACTCCGCACAAAGCTAACAAGGCTGCTACACAGTCCAGTGCACAGTACAAAGCACACAAGGAAGAAGTTAGGTTCACTAATCAGAAATCAGCCAGCCAGCAATCTATTCAAAACTATGGCACTCATTTAAGCAAAGTAAGTTAATCAAAATTACTGCAAGAGACAGGAAATCCCTCAGCGTATCATTTAAACATCCCCCCAAGCCGTTCCATTTCCTCAGTGGCAAAACAAAATGATCTTAAGCGTTACAAAAGTTTAGTGTGAAAAAATACCAAATTAAAGAGTTAAACTTTGGAAGCAAACAGGATAAAGAATGGCAAATCTAACTTTACTCTTCCTCTTGAACCCAGGTAGCATCTCAGACCACAGACCTGCGACCCCAGCCATCTCCTCTCATTACCATCTGCCCACCGAGGAGAAGCATGTGGTTAAGTACATACAGATGAAGTTTCATCTCTAATTTCCCCAATTCAATTGACTTTCAGGAAGTATATTTAGTTTCACTTTTCCTTTCTTCAGATGTATTTTGGTTTTAACCTAGACCTTTCTCTCAACATATACTGGGGAGAAAAGGAAAACTGAGGGAAACACAGGAAACCACTGTGTCTTAAACCAGTTTCACTCTATTTTTAAATACAAACTATGAGCAGGGCCTTTTAATTACAGCTCACACCAGCAAACCCCTGAACAAGCTATCATCCAAAGCACGACAAGGAAACACGCAGACATGCGCCTGCTTTTTCTTTTTTATAATTATTTCCGGCGCCCACTGGCCTGAACTCGATTCAAACCTGCTAACGGGCTTCGGGCTCCTCCTCGCCCTGCCGGCGGGGGAAGGCCCACGCCCCGCACACCCGCTCCCTCTCGGATCGGCCGCCAGCCCCGGCACAGTTCCCCGGGGGAACCCGATCTCCCCTTTCCCCGCCTGCCGCCACGGCGCGGCCTGGCCGCCTCCCTCCGCCCCGGCCGCTCGTAGAGCCGCGCCCGGCGGAGGCGCCTGCCCGCGCCGCCGGCTCGCTACGCGAGGCCCCGGCTTCCCCGCGGCCTAGTGGAGCCCGCCCCTTCCTCAGCTCTTACCCAGCGGGCTGCGGCGGCAGCAAGCGCGGCAGGCCCAGCCCCTTCGCTCCGCAGCCCTGCCCCTGCCTCAGCGGGGCGCCGCAGGCACCTCCCCCAGGGCCGAGAGGACTTCTGCTTCTCTGGTTTTTGTTGTTTGTTTTTTGTTTTGGTTTGGGTTTTTTTTTTTTTTTTTTTTTAATAAATACGGAGGTTTTGTTTGTTTGTTTGTTTGTTTTTTATAGCAGGGCGAGGCCTGGAGTGCCACCCATCGCTGTTACTATGGGAGAGGAGCAATGAGGCCGCGAGCGAAAGCTGCTCAGGTAGGGCAGGAGGCAGGTCGCCCGCTCGAGGCTGCTTCATTCACAGGAGCCAAAAAGCAGGTTGCTTTTCACCAGAAAACCCCGCTCATTTGAGCTGGCTGGCTTCTGCAGGGGGGAGCAAAGAAGCCACCTCCCAGCAGTAGAGCATCCCAAAAGAGGTAAGGAACACTTACAGAAGTTATTCAATTAGCACTTACCAAATGATAATACTTACAGGTTGCTAAGAGAAAAACCAGGAGGAAAGCTTTGTTGCCATCTGCTAGCAGCCCCTTGGAGAGAAAGTGCCCTGCATCTTCTTTGCCTAAAGACTTGGGACTTCTGCCCTGCAGAGCCAGGCACAGCTGTCCGAGGAGCAGGGCCAGTTAGCAGCGATGCTCCTCGAGAGTTCTCTTTGGCCTCTGTAACCCACAAGCAGCTACTTAAAAAGGCTCTTGCACATGCTAACCCACTTCACTGCCCTTTCTAAATCCCCAGGAGACTCGTTACACCCAACTTAGGTTAGCAGGAGGCAAGAGCCTTGAAATACTAACAGAGCAATAACAAGCAGAATCAAGCATCCATTGCAGCAGCCCGGGAAACACACATACACTTTCTAGATGGCAAAACAGCGTCTAATCTGCAGGCAGATGCAGGAAAATCAAAGCAGATTAATTGCTACAGCAGGCAAAGGGTGCAAGCTGCTCTTCATGTTTTAAATATTGCATGGATTTTCCTATACACAGATTAGGGTATGAGGCATTTGCCAGCCCGATTGGGAACAAACAGCCGACAATGTAGCATGAGTTAGCAGAAATCCTTTCGCTTTAATGCCAAGCTTGCTGCCATTGACTTTTGCACTCTCACATATTTCTCCTCAATGAAGTTCAATCCAGCCCTAAACCAGAAGTAGTTTTAGCACAGAAATTCAGTGTTATAAGTACAAGGGACTCCAGTACTGATATAACTAGGGAAAATTTTGCTAGGAGCTCAGTAATTGGTAGAAAATCTTAACATGTCCATCTGAAGGATATAATAATAATATATAGGTAAATGATCTTTTCTCCTGCTTTAAGTACATTAGAGAACTTACATTTTAAAGTCATAACTGAATATAAATCTATAAACAGGCAACCTCCCCACCCCTCTTTTAAGCTACTTGTTTGTTTTTTAAAATGAACCAATATTGCTACAAAATAGAAAGAGCCTTAAGTATAAAAAATCGCCTGTGCTACATGTAAACATGAGTACCTGAGCGTCATAGTTTAAACCCAGCCGGCAGCCAACTACCACACAGCCACTCGCTCACCCTCCCCCACCCCTGGTAACGGGGGAGAGAATTGGATGAATAAATGTAAGGGGACTCATAGGTTGAAGAAAATAATTTAATAATTGAAATAAAATTATAATTATAATAATAATAGTAATAATAGGACATATAAACCAATAATGCACAATATGATTGCTCACCACCTGCCGACCGATGCCCAGCCTGTTCCTGGCTGACAGTCCCAGAGAAGTGAAAATCCCAAAACCACAATCCTGGAAAAGAAAGAGAGTGAGCTTCCCGAACAACCCTCATCTATACACTGAGCATGACGTTGTATGACATAGAATATTCCATTGGCCAAATTAGGTCCATTTCTTTGGCTATGCTCCCTCCCAGCTTCTTGTGTACCTGGGCACTATCAGGACATGGGAATTGAAAAATGCTTGATTTCTTAGCAACGACTAAAAACATCAGTACATTATCAACATTCTTATATCAAACCCATACTGAATCCAAAACAGCACTATTCTGGCTACTGAGAAGGAAAAATAAAAATTATCTCTATCCCAACTGAAATCAGGACTAAAACTTATTCTTTAAATCCTCTTAAAAAAGAGCATACGTCGTGTAACAAGAAGATACTTACTGGCTACGTCATCAGAAGGAAGTTTTACCCAAGAAGAAAGAGCTTCAGAGTGGATGGAAGATTTATATATATGTCTGCAATGCCTCTTCACCCTTTGATTGGCCTGTTTGAAAATCATTTCCCAATCAGTCAATATTTTGGCTACTTAAAGATGGGAGGGGAAACTGACATAAGTTAATTAAAGTAGATAAACAGTTAATGAGGTAGGCAGTTGAGGGTATTGTGGGGTTTCTGGTGTCTGTTGTAGTCCCTATTTAAATTTGATTGTATTGAGTATATAGGAGCATCATTGTTAGGGGTTCTTTTTTAAATCCTTAATTTAGACAAGCTTAAAGCTAGTGGAAATGTAAAAGGCATGCTATAGTCTGAAATGTTTTCTTCTTGAGTTCGTAGTAAAGAACTAAACATATAGTTCCTTTAGTTTTGGCTTTCCTTCTGATATCTCCAGTATTGCTGTGATGTTTCACTTACCTTCCTTGTGTTTTTCCTGCATACTCACACACCAAACACAAGACTTGTAGTGCCTGAATTCTGTGAAGAATAGATTATTTAAATCACTGAGATTGATTTTTTTTTTTTTTTTAATTCTTTTTTTAAGCCTTTAATGTTACCTTTAAAATAATCTTTTTTTCTGTTCTGGAATTTTTAAGTGTTTGGATAATATCAGCAAGAGAGCAATGACAACTCAGCATGTAAGGTAAAGCGGTACATAAATAAGACTTTTACCTTCTCAGTCTTACCCTGCTGTGCTTTTACTATAGCTTGTTACTTCTCTGTCATGATCTACTGGACTACTGAAGATAAGGATCTCCCAAAATACAGGGAAGAACTATTAATCACTGAGTATGCAACATTACAAGATTCCCATCTCAGAGAAATAGAAGTAAACAGAAGTGCATACTGAAGAAAAAGGTGATGCTTTTTCTGAAATTGAACATTTATCTCAGCTTGTGAGCTTCGGTTTCCTCCTATGTTTTCCTAAATCTCTTTAAGTTAAAGCAGAAGTTCAGGTAGATACTTCTATCTTATACAAAATAATCTCTTTTCTATCCATGTGAGATGCTCAAAATGGGAACATAGCACTTTCTTACTGGATTAGCCCCACTTTTGTGGAACGAGTCTTCTAATAGATAGTTGATAATTTTTCCTTCTCCCTATCAGATCATAAGATGTGTGCACAGCTGTAGCAGTGAAAGCCCTAAACTAAAGTATCTGTCTTTAACATCAGGACTTACACATATTTTTAAGAACAAAGTAGTCTTGTTTACACCTCTGACTTTTTTTCCACAGTTAAAATAGCAAAATGCATGTATAATGTAGTATATATGTGGTGGAGTTGAGGAATACTGCTGGAGGGTTTGGAGGCTCTTTCAGTGGTATCAAACATACAGCAAGGCACTGGGAGGGAGAATGATGAGCCCTGGAATAAACTTTGCAGATCCTACAGGACACCAGTCCTTCTCACCCTGCTTATAAAAACCAGCCCCAAAGATGTTTTGGATCAAGGCTCACCATGGTTTTAGCTATCACTGTGCAGGGTGCAAGATGTTTGTACGTTAGAGAGAAAGCATTGGTCTCTTAAAGATAGGCAGGTAACAGCCTTTTTTTATTTTTTGTAAAAGTGTAAAGCAAATATCAAGAAAAAAATCTCCAGGGATACTTCTAGCTAATAGTTTCCCCACAGGGATTTGCAAAGGCCCATCAGTTGCACAAATCCCAACTGTCTTCAGCCTTCTTGAGATCTCTAGAGGATCTTGCTGCATGCTTACCTGCAGGTCTGGCTATGCCAGCATGTTTTTAAAGCTCATTGTAGGCAATTCTAGAGGAGTGCTTCGGTTTAAAACTGAAAGGCCACCATGGGGCTTCTGGAGGGCTCAGCTGTGACTTCCATGTTGGGGTTATGTTATGACCTGGGTAACCCGAGTCCGTGCCAGGAGGCAGCAGGTGTCCAAAGGGACCTGTGACGTTAGTGCTGCTGATTTACCTAGAACCAGTTGTACATACAGCTGAGCTCTCTCCTGCACTGGAGGGGTGGCACTGTCTCGCACCCTTTGAGCGCTCTCTGGGGCTGTCTCTCCTATTTTACGTGTCTTGTGGCCCTCACCTATATGAAGAAACAGGTATGTGGTGCACGACGCTGGGCAGGCTGGTTACTCGTAATGCAGTGGTTTCACATGACCCTGGGGACTAGTCTGTAAGGGGTCTTTTTCTGCTTCTGGCTTGCAATCCAAAGTCAGGCAGGTTTGCCTTTCACTTTCCTTGCTGGAAGAATTGCAATCACAGTCTACTTTAGTGCAAGTGAATTGTGAGACTTCAGTAAACAATGTCTAGAGTAGACAATTAGTAAAATGATCTACAGCTGTTTAACCTTTACTTCTTTAAACAAAAATCACTAAAATGGAAATTAAAAGGAAAACCCAATAGACTATTCAATATTGTGGCATTATTGCACCTCAAATGAGATAATGAGGAAGCATTGATCCTGTTGGGACAATATAAATACTACCTAGCAAACCATGGCTACCTCCAGAAAGCAGTGTTTTCCACAGAAGGGTTTTGGGGAAATGGGGACGTGGTCCTGGAGACTGGTGGAAGGTCTGGCCTTGAGCTCCACTGTGTAAAAGTATTATCAATTATTGAGAGAAAAACACATCACAGAACAGAATAAACTTTGGTCCTGTGTGGTCTTGATATGGGTAAGTGTTCTTCCCATGAGAAGTCTTATTCCTCCTACGGAGAGGCATACTCAGAGCTCAGGCCAGCAGTTGGCTGTGATGCCAGGATATGAACTGTATTTACCTGTGTTGAATAGAGAAATACATCTATTTTCAAGAATCATTAGTGATACATGCAGCTGTGTGGTACTATATAACTATTTGAGAATTGTTTTCTTCTGTGACAGGCCTGAAAGCATTTCTTCTTTCTTTATTATTTTTGGTTCTTTTTTTGAAGTTATTTGTATTTATTGTAGGCCAGAGTAGTATCTGGCCTTCTGTAGTCTCTAATCCACAAGGATCCATAGTTTCTTTTCCATTTATCCTCACTAAAGTGTTGATGCAACCCTCCACTACATTTTTCCTGAGCTCTCTGATTTTTCTGCCTGCCTCAAAGCACTTCCCAGCACAGAGCCTATCCATTCATCCCAAGCCTGACATGCTGCTGATCCCTGGTTGTGCTGTTTCTATCCCCTCAGAAAGGACAACTCCCTTCCCTCAAATCCCCAAATGATCCTTTTTATACTTGTCCCTACTGAGTTCCCAGCCAGAAGTGCTTTTGCTTCTGCAAACTTCAATGGCCACAGCCCCAGTCTTATCCTTTAGCCTTTGACACGTCTCTTAGAGCTGGAAGAGGGGAGTGTTGGTTGGTCTTAGGACATCTCTACTCTTTTCCTAATTTCTGCGGTATCATTTCTTCGCAGAATTGGTCAAGTTGCTTTCTCTCTCTGCCTGAGTTTTAGAAAGGTGGTGAGTTTTTACAGAGCTGGCATAAGATTTATGAACGCTGTCTGCTTCCCTGCCAGCATCATGCAAACCTTTGCATCAACTGATCTCCACCCTAAAAGCCTTTTTGCCCCACTGCCCTTACTATCCCCACTGCTATCCGGGACGGCACATTTTGGGTAGCTAGAACCTGTTTTCTGATGTCTAGCCTGACTGAACACACATCTCCCCAGCTCCCTGGTGCCTGTCTTAAGTTTCTGTATGTCTTCTGCCTCCATGGCAACATTTTCAGGCTGTCATTGGAGCATTGCTTAGTTTTCATTTTGCTCACCTAACCGTGACAAGCTTTTTGAGCGTCTGGTATTCTGTTCCCCTGGTCATCTTTTCTGTGTTTCCCTGTGGTTGGGGGTCTCTTTCCTGAAGATGTACAACAAACAGCCTGCACATCACTTCAGGCAGGTCTTCCTAGAGATTTCTATTAAAATGATCTGTAGAGGAATAACTTTTCTTGTATATAATTTGATTTTATTTACCCTCTTGCTAACATTCCTGTGGCTGTTTAGAATAGCTAGGGTACAAACAAATTATGAATGTCCCAAATGATGAGTTTCCCAATTGCTACAACAATCCTGATCAGTTCTTAGAGTACCTTTAGTAATTTTTCAATCAAACCTGTAACCTGCACTTTAGTCAATCAGCAGAAAATTAAAATCTTTCCATACTTTATCCATTTCACCTTCCTCCAAAGCACTGAGGCAGAATCCTGGCTTTTCTAAGTACAAGAGAATTGGGAAAACTGTCCCCCGGACAGAGATAAAGGTGAGCACTGCACCCAGGAGGGCATGGTAGTGTCTGGGGGGATGCTTTCTTCTGGACTAGGCTGACTTAAGTTGTCCCCACTGCGTAGACACCCTGTTAATCCTTCTGCAGCTCAGTTCTCTTTCCCAAAAGGGTAATGTGCAGTACACGTGAGAAGACTGCAAGATAATTGGATGCTGTGATAATGTGAGTGCACAGGGAAGTGGGAGACTTACCCTAAAGCATTAATTCAATGTTTTGATGAAATGCTTGCAAAATACTTCACAACACTTCTTTAGATAGAAATTGCTGTGGAAATGTAAAGCATTGTTATAAAATTATTTCAGGTGATTGTATCTGCATCCTGTAGCAGTTGAAGTTCTAGCTACAGAAACAGGACTTGAATGACACCCAAGTCAATAAGATTGAGATTATAGATACAATTTGCTGCAGACACGTACATACAGAAAAAGTAAGAGATGACTGAGATTCTTTCAGGACAGAAGACTGTCAATATTCTTTCTTAAGGATTATACAATCTATTCAGTAACTTTTTTTTTTTTTTTTTTTTAGATAGATCTGCTTTGGAGTACTTGCACAGGAACTGAAGCTTAATTAATTTTTTTTTTTCTTCCTCTCTACAGTGTTACTGGCATGAATGCCTTCAATGCTCATTTTTTTTCTAGTAGGGCGAATCTTTATCTCGTACTTGTCCAGCCAATGCAGCGTTACAGGTTAAACCGCAAGTAATTTTTGTTGCTGCTAAATAACAGACACTGCAGAAAGATAGATAAAATGGTCCATTTTTTATAATCCTGTTTTCCATGTAAATCCAAACTAGGGAGGAGATTGTCTTAGATGAGAACAAATTGGGAAGAGCTCTCAGGCTGTCTGAGCTCTCTTGTCTGCTTTGCAAAAAAGAATCAGATTAACGAACGTAATCAGATTAAGGCTAAACAAGGGACCGTATCTGGGGGGCATCAGAACTCTGCTGATACCAAAGAACTGCATGGAGAATCAACATTAAGGGCCTAACATTTCTCTATCATTTCATTTAATAGGCGCAAAATAATGGCTTTCAGAGTCCTGACTGCTGGCAAGAGGACCGTGGATTTCCAGAGCACAAAAAGGCTTGAGGGAGCTGGATGGCAGCTCCAAGACGCTGGCTTTAGGCAGACTTTGCTTGGTGTGACAGTGACTTGCAGAGTCCTTTGGAACGTTGGCTTGCAGAGAAAGGCAAGCAGCGTGGGGCCTCTTTAGACATAGGTTTTGATGCAGTTAAATCTACCTAAAGCCGTCTCTGCTATCAGTCTACTCTCTTTTGTATAGGGAAACAATGCTGAAGGGAAAGAAGAATATACCCTGAAAAGGCAGAGACAGCGATGGGCAAGATTCAGAAAGACACGAATGAGAGAATGACAAGAAGGATGTATATCAGAAAAATGAGGAGGAACGTGGTAAAAACAGAATGAGAAAGAGGAGATGGAAGGGAAGATTATAAAGCAATATTAGGTCCTTAATGCTTATTTTTCCACTGCCCTCAGCAAAGTGAGAGCAGGGTGCACCGTGCCAGTGCAGTAATGTTCCATCAGTTCCTGAGGTGGCAGCACGCATACCCACTGGTCATTGTAGAAGAGGCATTTGAAGTTTTCTAAGAGAAGGTAAGTAAGTGGAAGTGAGAGCATGAGAAAGAAAGGAAGAAGGTCAAGAACTTGAGGGGAAAGGGCACTTACGGTTTCTGTTCAGATCCATTTTCTGTTTCTTCAGTGCCAATTGTATCTCAACAAATACCTGTTATCAACAGAACTTGCTGCTACACATGATGCCTAAATCCTGCTGGCTGTTACAAACTCACAGCCTGTGCTGGAATCAAGGGGAACACTGTTAGTTTCTGCTTTCCAGCATGAAGTACCTCTAGCTCTAAAAACACCCCGTTCTTTCTGGCTGCATTTATTACCTTGTTTGACTTTGAAGTTCTCTGAGTTTCCTGGGGCAACCAAGGGGATGTTTGATGTGGGGTCTTCAAGACCAACAAGCAAATATGATTAATAATAAATATTATTAATAAGAATAATAACAAGTAACAAGAAGTATTATGAGACTTGAAAGTGGTGTAGCCCAATTTTCTAAGTTTTTTTTTGTCTGACTGATTTGTCTAGGAATTGAGAATCTCCAGTTAATGCTTTCTCCCTTCTTGGTACACTTATAAATTCTATTCCTATGCGGCCTTTCTGCATCTAGTAAGCTATGAGTGCCTATTGTATCTGTGGCCTTCCACCTGGGGCATGTAAAGTCTCTACTCATTATTGACTTTCATAAAATTTTTTGCTATTTGATTGTCTTGGAAACATCTATGGCTCTATGGCTCTGGAAAATGTGGTTCGCAGCAGTCATCAGGATCAGCCACTGTTGCATGGACAGACACATATGACAAGGTTGTTTTAAGCTTTATTTCCATATAAAACAAAGCTAAAATAAGAGGGGCAGATGGTGGGGCCCCTGATTTATTTTTTTTTTCTTCCCTGTGTCTTCCATAACGTAATCAGCTGAACAGAGGTTTAGCATATCTCAAGGCAGTGTTTCCTTTTGATATGGGTCAGGCAATTAAATGAGACTGAAAAAAACAGGGGGGGCAGCGTGGGGAGGAGCTAATGGGACATCGCCCCTGGTTACCATGAAAGAACGGGGAGAGAATGATGTGAGGTGTGGAAAAGTCTCGTTGGTTGCTGCAGTCGTAAGCAGTGCAGGTCATCTTGCAGAGTGTGCACGCACCCAGTGAGCTCATGCCACGCTCCCAGGGGTTTGAATTGCAAAGGAGCAGCTGCTAGCTGGTTCCCAGTTGACGCAAGACTGTGCAAATCCATGCAGATCTGTTGTCAGCTGCGCCTCTCTGGGTGCCTGCTGAAAAGTTGTGTGCGCGCGCATGAACTTTCTAGGCTTAATCTGCATTATAAAGTGTGTGTGTGTGCGTGTAAGCTTTCTGCAGAGCTCTAGAGCATATGTGTCATGGGGGGTGAGACCAGAAAAGCAGATGTCCTGAACATGCCCCTCCTACTCGGGGATTAGAGATGCTCAAGGGAGAGCAGAGAGAAGCTGGGACACACCTCCCTGCCTCACCGCCAGAGACAGCAGCAGCTTCTGCAGGTTCAGTGGGCCTCTGCTCTTTGGTCAAATAAAATCCTACAGCTCCATTTCCAGCAACCATCCCCTTCTTTCAGTTAACCAGAGAGGAGGAGGATGGCCTATGCTGAGGAAGACAGGTAAGATGCTGTGAAATAGGGGATGCGCAGACATCCAAGCTGGAAGGGGCTAGCGAAATTGCATCGCTTTTCCTCGCCTTGTTTTCCTCTTTTTTCTACTGGGCACTCAATAAATGTCAGACAAGGGCTGCTCAGAAGTAAACATCTTATTATTGAAGAGGAGTCTGGCCATCTGCCTGTGTCAGGTGCTGGTATTATGAAATATGGCATCGAGCAGGTGACCTTGGCAGAGGTTATGGGCCAGAAGAGGCAAATATCGTGGTATGGAGAGGCATACACTGCAAATACCTATGGCGGTATGCCCCTCTGAAACATAAAGCTTTATCTGTTTACTGGGATATGCTTGCTTCTTACATGGATTTGCTTTCAACCAACCAAGAAGCATAATGAAGGTGGATTTTTTTCATGCCATAAAACATCTGTCATTGGTGACAGTCCTGTGTTTTGCAACAGATGCGTTTCTCCAGTGGATGACAGCAATCACAATAAAAGGGATTGTGTTTTCAGTTGATCCTGTGATTTAATCTAAAGCGATGCTACTGAGCACTATTTTTAGGTGTGCATTGTTGGAGACGGAGTAGCTATAGGGGGATTTGTGCTACATGTATTAATTCGGGCTGTCAAAAAGCTTGCACAGACCTCGGGCTCATGCAGTTCCAGGCTAAACGTTGCATTTGGTGACCCACAGGTCAAACTCCCCCCTCTGCTCCTGCTGAGCAGGTATCTCCTTCGTATTCAGAAATTATCTGTGCCTGCTGGTCCCCTTTGATGCTGTGCATCCGGAAGAGTTCTGAAAACTAAATTTTGCAACCAGGGCACTGCAGATTAATTTTGGCATCACTGTGCTCTCAGCACTGGGGACAGCTCTGATGTGTCCAAAACCTTTGGGATGGTGAGGGCTCTGCAAGGCCCCTGCACACCCGCTGAAACTCCTTTCAGGCAAGGAGACTTGCATAGTGCTGAAGTTTTACATCTTTGGATAACAAATATTTTAACATCTGTTTAGAAGGAAAAAAAAAAAAAATCCCTTAAACTAGACACAGGCCAGTCAATCCCAATGTCTTCAGCAGACATTGAATGGGATTCATCTCACACTCCTAAAATTTCTGAGGATATAGGAATAGTATCCATTCTTTAATGTTATTTCACAATGGTGTATGCACCTTAAAAAAATACAGAAATAAAAGGGGATTAATGGTCAAGAGAAAGAGCAAATCCTGGTGACCTCGTTCTTTTCTCATGCCTGCTACAGGTACGTCAAAAGCTTGGGTATTACATTTAAATTCTCTTGGTTCCCTCTAATTTCTAAACAGGGATTACAGTTATTCAAGAGAGAAATTGGAGGGGAATCATTCATTAATGTATGTAAAGCACTTTTAAATCTTTTCTCTGGAAGCAAAGGATAATATAGTCAGTCAAGTGTAGGCTTCATTAATGTCACTTCCATAGCTTCTGCTCATTTCAGGAGCTTGTGGCACACTTGGAAAATGCAACAATATGTTATGGTAAATAAAGTCTTTCTCATTTCCAGACATTTCCTTTGAAAGTATTTCAACAAAGTGACTCTTCATTTTAATGCATGAATATGGAATTTATTTCTTCTCATTGGATCGCAGATTTATGGCATACTCGGGTATTTTTGACATCACGATTTGTAACTAGGAAGATAAGCTTGATGTAGCAGACATTGGACAGGGCTTATAGCAGGAGCTGGACAGCTAGGAGATGAAAAAGCTCACAGAAGATACCTGTGCAATAACTCCTTACCTTGTCAGTATAAAGAAAGGGGAAACATAGAATTGAGATCCTTTATTTGAATATCTGATTCTTCAGTTAGAGGAGCCAGTTGTATACTGTCAAACCCTCTTCATCAATGGTCCAAGACCTCCTGGAATGTAGAGCACTACTTTGAAAGCTTTTCTGTATGTCCTCTGAGGCTGCAGACAGCAGAATCACAACCTGACTGAGGTTTGTACCTCTGAAAACAAGAAACTTGATTTAAAAAAAAAAAAAAAAAAAGGTAACCTTCATGAAGCAGACAGTGACCACTTATCAGCATCTCCAGTCAATTTTACATCACCTTCAACCTCACAGTATCGGATTCTCTCACCACTTAATAAGCAGATCAGCTTTTCATAGAGAGAACCTGCTGCCCCTACCTGTGTTGGTTTACTCCATGACCCAGTCCTCTACCATATACAGTCATTAATTCTACTCATCAATGGTAACGATCAAGTCGCTATCAAGAATGCTATCGGTACACTTGCTTCTGAAGAGAGTTTCCAATCAACATTGATATTGGCTTTCAGAAGGTATCTGCGTTGTCCTATTGGAAACAGGATTATGGGATTATTCTGCTATTGATTGTGTTTCAAATCTGTGATTAATGCATCTGATGAATACCGGACCGATAGGCCTAAAGGTTGAAGTCCTCTCTCTTCCCACGAGACAGATACATAACAGGCAGGGAGCGCCAGCTTCTATTCCACCTTCTAGCAACGTGCCTCAGCGCTGGATAAGACATATTTTTTGCCAAGGTATTTGAGCAGTCCCCCGGTTAAGTCAGACAGCACAAGCCCAGGAGCCCAAATTCCTGTTTTTAATTTCTGTTTTGATGTAGACCGATGTCATCAGGCCTCTTGCCTAGGACTAGACTGTGGGTATGACCCACTGCCCACCCTATGGGAAAGGAGAAGATGAATGATATCTCCATGTTTATCCTCCTGTACCAAAACCACAAGGTATCGAGAAGGTGGATATTTGAGGTGCATTACTAGCCCCAGAAGGAAGCACTGGGAGCTGATGGCACTCAACACTTATGAAGACTGAGTTCTCCATCTCTGTAGATGATGCTTGCCCCATGTCCCAGTCATCTACCCGTGGCAGAGGACTGTCTGCTCCTTCACCAGCACAGCATCCTAGCCATGCTGCACCGGTCTCCTTGGACTTGCATCCTCTTGTATTTCGCCACCACAGGCTTGACATCCCCGTGCACACACATATAGGTTGCAATTTCTCAGTCTAACTGTGCTTTTGCATTCCTTCAGTAGCTCAGGAGAGACCGGAGCCCTTCAGAAGCAGGACTGGTTATGCCTTGTGACATTCCTGTGATCTAGGTATAATTAGATATTCTTTCACTATACAATGAAACTGGCAAAAAGGATTCAAATGATTTGGCTGTGGCCAGGGATAAAATATGAGACTAAAAGGGAAACATCTTCAATAATAGCAGTGAAGCTCCTATTATTTTAGTTTTAATGACATTTCTTTTTCTTTGCACCTTTTCAGGGTTTTTATCCTTTGAAGTTTGTTCTTTGGATGGGTTGACAGCCTCACTGACCTGTTCTCCTTCTGCAGAAATAGCTACGAGGTGTCTAAGGAAACAGCGGATTGGTTACGTGCCCGCACTGCCCAGCGCCCAAAGACCGCCATCATCTGTGGATCTGGACTGGGAGGTCTGGCCGATGTGTTGGATAACAAGACAGTCTTCCTGTATGAAGACATCCCTCATTTCCCACAGAGCACAGGTTAGCACAACCCCAGGCATCAGCAACCCATCCATGGGCAGCCCGCAACAGCCTTACAGGGAGATAGCGCCAGTCAACGTGCACCACTTGGCACTGGTCTGCAAACCAGTCCCTCGGTGGTGACATGTGTGTTCACAGTTCAAAACAAAACAAAAAATAAGCATACATATTTCTTTGCTATGGTATTTATTTGACTTTCAGCTCCCAGTTTCGCAGCGCTTGGCCCTGCTGTAACGCATAAACAACTGACAAGTCCCTCTAAAGTCGAAGACCTTGAGACCTGTAACTAAAATGACACTCTATTAATTTCCAGTTGCAGGGCATGCTGGCAGATTGGTGTTTGGGGAGCTGAACGGACAGCCCTGCGTGTGTATGCAGGGACGTTTCCACTATTACGAAGGATACTCTGTCAGCACGGTGAGTTCTTAAGAAAATCATTTGCATAGGGGGAGATATGTTGTAAAAGACGCAAAAGTGACAGTTTGCTTTGATATCGAGCTGCAGGAGGTTAGCTCTTGCAAGGAATCGTGCTCGGTTTTTACATTTCTCACCCCAAAATAAAACTGGGAGTTCAAATCGAGAGGTAGTCTGCTTCTGCTGGGTGAAGCTGCTGCTGTGCAGCCATGCAGCGTGGCTAGCCCCGCGATACTCGCAGGGCAAAATAGTGTACCGTACAAGGCAGATTGATTTACATAGTTTAACTCTGTCATTTAAATCATGATTTAAATCAGCAGTTGGGCAACTCTGAGCGATAAGAATAATCTATTTTCATCCTCGTTTGCACTTGCATAGTTTACAGGTTTTTTTCCCCTAGAAAAAACTCCCTGTCTAAGTGTAACTTGATATACTCTCCCAGTTAACATATAGAACTATGGGAATGTTCAGGTATTACCTGACATGCATGTGTTTACATTTCTGTTGGAAACACCAGTAATACTTCTTATATACTGGCTGATAGTGTTATATGTTCTTTTTTAATTTGGATAGCTTTGAGGTTTTAATTGTGGCTGAGGTCAGTTTGCATTTGGATAAAACCCGTAATACTTGGCATCATTCCACTCCTTATAGAAACACTATTTTAAATGCACTCGATACAAAACAAGGTTTATCAAGACATGTTTGTCTAGTCAGATTAACTCGTATCTTAAGTGATGTACATAGTTAGGAACTTTTCTGCTCACAGCTTCTTTAGCATTTTTGAAGTAGCAGATATCATCCTGATTCTTTCTTGACTCCTCAAAATCAAACTTCTTGAATTTTTTTTTCCAGTTCCCCCAATTGTTCCTTAACTTTGGATAAGCAGGTCACTGAAGTGAACTAATGTGAATAAAATGAAATGAATAAAATAATCTCTATGCTTCTGTAAAATGCATCACTGCTGTAAAAAGCTGGCTTATCAATTACACACCAAGTCCATGTGCATAAGTAGTTACTTCAATCAGCACAGCGGTTTGATCTCTGCAAGACCTTGGCAGCGAGGAAAAATTGTCTGCATATTCTTTTTGTACCGCATTTATTTGACCTTAGTGCAACTGTAGGAAATGCGGGCTTGAATTTTAATGGTATTCATTTCAAGATTAGATTTTAATATATTTAAAAAGCATTACAATTCTTTCTATTTAAATTCAAGGAATATTTAAAATGGGAGAAAAAGTTGTTTTGTCTCCTTGTAGCCTCATATAGACCCTTCTCTGCATCATGTAAGCTGTCCACAGATTGCAATACTACAGATGTAGTAGTAGTAGCTGTCTGCTAATTGCAACACTCATTGCATATATGCCTTTGGTTCTTGCAGGTCACCTTTCCCATCAGGGTCTTCTTTCTCCTGGGGGTGGAGATCTTGATTGTCACAAATGCTGCTGGGGGACTGAATCCCCACTTCCAAGTGGGGGACATCATGTTCATTAGAGATCACATCAGCATGTTTGGCTTGGGAGGGCAGAATCCACTGCGGGGACCAAACGATGAGAGGTAAAGAAGGCATCAGCTCCATGTTACCAATTAATCCTTTCTTCCTCCAGCCACAGGCTACGACTGCCAGTTGCGCCTGATGGCAAATATTTACTGAGAGTTTGGCTCTAGGTAGCCACGAGGGAAAAGTTAAAGCAATAGCTGTGTGTGCTGTGACACCTGTGCTGCCTTCCCCAAGCACCCTTCCTTGGCTGTTCCCTACTCTTACAAGCCTGTAAGGAGTTTATACCCAAACCTCCAGAAGGTTTTGTTTTATAAACATAGGTTTCTGGTCCTTCTCCTGACGTGGCCAGCTGTACTGTCTGCTAAAGAGACCCGCTTCTGTCTCTTCTTGTCAGTCCCTCTCTCTGCTAGTTCCTCTTAACTGAGCAACCTGGGGAACTGCAGTGTCTCCAGCCTGCATTTATCAACAGCCATTTCTGGTGTGATGGAACCGATATGACAGTGGCCAGGCAGTAGGTTAATAGCAGAGCAAAGATAAAACCTCTAAATCCCCCAATAACTGCCCTTGTATCCAGGTCATTAAACTGGGGTGCCTTTGTTAGCATCATGTATTCACTGAAGGCATGAGTCTGATGAGAAGTGGTTGTCTTGGCAGCCTTTTGGGAGACCTCTAGGTCTACGAGAGTGACCTGCCGCTGGTTGAGCTGGGAAATCAGGTTTCCTATACTAGCTGTGTAGCAGGTTCTTCACCCCGTGGATGGTGCACAGAGGAGCTTGTAACGCATCTGCACCCCTGGACTGGAGTTGTCACTGGACATGGAATTGCTTTGAGCAAGACTAGATGACCTCGAGGTCCCTTCCAACCCAAATTAATCCATGATCCTATACACCTTCCCAGCTCCCAACAGACTGGTAGGGTGGAAGGCAACAAGCACCAGCAAGGTCATAACACTGAGAGGGGACATGCCAGATGGACCAGTGTTTACAAAAAAAAAAAGGCCCTTGGCTCTCAAATGGGGCTAAAAAGAGCGTGAGGACACATCCACTGGAGATTCAGGCTGAGCGAAGGAGGGCACATCAGGTGTCAGGAAGGTCAATGTGGAAGCAGTAAAGATCCAGTAAAGATCAAAGCCTTACGGCAGGAAAGAAAGAGGCCGGACTGTGATAAGGAGATAACAGTAGCAGGAATTGTTTCCTAACCAAGCTGGCAGGAGAGAAGCCAGATGAAAGCCAGGTGTGTGAATCCAGAGGACAGGCAATGGAGGTGGTGAAGGACATGGTAGTTTAGGGGCAAAGAGTGAGTTTAGATAACTCACTGGTTAAAGATGGCTAAATTTGTTGTTGGATTGGTACCTGCATCTTGAAAAAAAGGACACATTTGCAGGGCAGGCACCTGGACTGTCCTGAGATCTTTCCAAAAAGAAAGTTCTGGCTGAGAATAAGGTGGTCTGCCTAGATTCCAGTTAAAGTTATTTCCTTCCTGATGTAACATCAGACCTGTCTTCTGCTTCTCAAGAAATCTGAAGGAGAAACACCTCAGGAGAAATAAATGCTGGTTTGCGATTCAAATGGCAAGAGGCTGGTACCCACCTGAAGTGGAACATCTTTACATCGTCGTAGGTATTGCTGCAGATTGGAGGAAAGAGTGATCAAAAGCACAGTCACATGGAGGAGCATTTAAAGCTCTCTGGACTTGCCTAATTGCTCTGGAGCAGGAAGAGAAAGGCTAATCAAACAAAATAACTGTATCTGGACAACACTCAAGGCAGCACAGCTGTCTCACTGCCTCCCAAGAGCAGCTTCCCGGTGAAGACTGCAGTGCTCTGGGAGGTGACTTTTGTACTGCTGACCAAGGCATCAAAATGGGCAAAATGTCTTTATGGATCAGCTTTCAAAGTATTGCAGACCTTTAGCTGAGCAAACTCCTCCTAAAATCCAGTCCAGCTCAGCTGCGAGGAAGGATTTATCTAAGCACAACAGAGTAAAACTAAAGGCAATGAAGTGATGTGGGAAGGGAATATACTGCAAGAATCTGAGGACTGAATTTAATAAATTAGAGATTGGCTTCTGCATTGCTGGCCATCTTCAGGAAAAATAAGTAATTTTCATGGTGATGAATATTTATTACCTTAGACCAGATGGGAAGGTCTGGTTTTTATTTATATAATATTGTTTATAAACGTAAAACAAGCCACCTACTCCCCTTAAACATTCAGCTGGAAGAACGCGTAAACAAGCAGGAGCTTTAATAGCCTGGATGAGGGACCTGGTCCACTCCTGCTGAACTGAGTTGGTGAGCACAGCTGGGAGTTTATTTTCTAGATTCCCTCAGTGGCAGCATACCAGTCTTTGCCATCCACTTCTGCTCTCCTTGAGACAATAGTAGGATTCACTCACTCAGGAGCAGGACTGAGCTTATCTTAAGACCCAAAGCAAGTAACAGACCCAGCCTTGAAGCACAGGATGAAGGCTACCTAAAATGTGGCCCTGGAGCTCCAACACGTGCTACTCTCCCCGTTTCCCTGCAGAGGAGAACACCTGGAATGGGGGGCTGTTGCCTAAACATAGAGATTTAATATCATCTGACACTGCTGAGCATCCAATACCCATTCTCTGGGGCGGACAGATGCAATATAAGACCTGAGGGGCAAGCAGAACTTACTGGGGCATCTCAGATGGGCAACTGAATTGCGCTTCTGTCCTAGAAAAGTCTCCAAGCTTATGCTTGGGCTGATCTTGCTGCGCCAGGACCAAATACAGAACTGGATGCTCCTTCCTGGGATGTATTTTCTGACTAGCAGTCTTTGTTCATCTGCCTTCCCAAGAAAACCATCCCTCGAGGCCCTTCAGACTGCTCTGATATAGACAGTAAAGGGGAAAGGCTCAAATCTCACATGATTTGTCCAGTGCATCCCACTCTGTTTCCGTTTCAAGCGTACGGGTGTCAGCGTGGGGGCAGGACAGCCCTTGCTGTTGTGGCACAGGGTGTCCCCGGCCGTGAGCCTGCGTTCGGTAGCTGCCAGCTGCCATGAGCCTGAACTGTTGTGAGCGGTGCTCCACCAGGCCCTGCTCAAACCCCCTCCCTGGGTCGGCCTTTGGGACCCGGTGCCGCAGGGAGCCTGTCTGCAAGCTGTTGGGCAAGAGAAGCAAAAGGCGGGAGCTGTCTGACGGACGTTTAAAAACCGCCGTGGGCAGTTACTGGGAAAAGAGAGAAGTGGCTGTCAGTGCTCCCTGGAGACAGGAGTCATTGGAAAGACCGTTCCAGAAGGGTTTGTGCAGTAGGAAAGCAGCGCCGGACCTTCCAACAGCCATAACCTCTGCGTGCTGGGGGGCTTGGGCGATTAGATCTAGCAGGAATGCCATGATGGCAGAATTATCTCATGAGGAGGCCAGGATGAGAGAGGTTGCATCCGCGGCAGGTCTGCCCTTGACGTTTCCCTTTTCTCCAAAGGATGAGCATCCCTGAACTCTGGCGGAGGGAAGGTAGCAGCCGCGATATCAGCAGGGCTGCGCCCTTTACTGCCTTGCAGGTTTGGAGTGAGGTTTCCCTGTATGTCAGACGCTTATGAACAAGACCTGCTCAGCCTGGCGGTGGAGAGTGCGCAGGAGCTGGGCTTCCTGAGCTTCGTCCGCGAAGGAGTGTACTGTCTGCTGGCCGGTCCCTGCTACGAAACCATCGCCGAGTGCCGCGTGCTGCAGGCGCTGGGAGCGGATGCCGTGGGTAAGCTGCGCGGGCTGGGCTGGTGGGGTCGGTTGGGCACACGGTTTAAACAGCTCATTCTGCTCAAGGCTGACTTTCTGCAGTCCTTCACTCACCATCTGAGTCTCTTGCGCCTAGAGAAACGACCTCTACGTATTTCTGCTTAGTTCTGCAGTGGCTTAGCGCAGCTCCTAGGATGGGTCTGCAGAAAGTCTCTGTGCTGATGGCTGCCCAGGACAGGGATCTCCCCAAGACATTGTGTTTATTTCCCAGACACAGATCCCCCACACTCAGATGGCTCGGCTTCAGCAGGACTGAATGGGGCCCAATCAGAAACAAAGTCCTTTTCTATTATTTTTAAAATTCTGGCACTGTAAAGATTTTCACTGTGCCTCGTTGCTACAAAGCAGCCCTCCATAAGAGCCTTGATTGTTTAGGGATGGTAATTATGGATACCTTCCCAACTGCGTACAAGGAAGGCAAGCGTCACGATCCCTATGATTCCTCCAGCTTGACCCCTGGCTTGTGGAAGTCTTATTAATATCTGCAGATTCATTGTGTGTGGGGAAAGGAGCTCAGCTTCACACAAAGCCCTTTTTCTTTGCAACAGCTTTTTTAGCCAAGGAAGAGAAGAGCCAAATGACACAGCACATCAGTACTTCTCTTAGCAAGGCTGCAAGCAGTCTGACACGTCTTGGGGAGAGAGATGTAGCGCGCTGGAATCAAATGGGGGAGGTTTATTGTGCTGAGCAGGGTTGTAACTGTAGTGCTACAGCTATTAGAGCCTTACAAGCATCGCAGCCTTTAACTGTAACATAGCTCAGAAATAGAGAGCTGTTGGGGAATGAGACAAGGGCATGCACTGAAGGTAGGATTGTGGTTTGCGGCCTTGGAGAGATCTTCTTTTGGTGTAAATCCTGACTCGTCCTGGTCCTTTCCTCTCCTACCGTAGGCATGAGCACTGTCCCAGAAGTAATTGTAGCCAGGCATTGTGGCCTCCGAGTCCTGGGGATCTCCCTCATCACCAACAAAGTGGTGATGAGCTACAACAGTCAAGAGAAAGCCAACCACGAGGAAGTGCTGCGCGTCTCGGTGGTCCGGGCTGAAGCCCTGCAGAAGCTGGTCACGCACCTCCTTGGCAAGCTGGGGGAAAGCACAAACTCCCCCTGACCTCCAGGTGTCTGTCGTTCCTATCGTAACGTGTGAACACTAAGTGCTGGGGGAGAGCCATCGGTGAGACCGTCCCCTTCTGCTCTCCTGATTTTGAATCGACCTTTTGATTTTTGTCCCTGTGATTTAGCTGGTCAGGCGGAGAGGTTTGCTTTGAATTTTGCCAGAATGATATCCCCCTTGTTGGGAGCCAGTGGCAAAACCAGCTTTCTGGCACTTAAACGGGGTCTGACCTCTGGCAGATTCCCGAATGTCAGCAATGAGCCCCTTGGCACCGTGAGCTCCAGCTCCCCCTCGTTCTGCTGCAGAGCGTTTGGTGTCTCTCGCCCGTGGTGCTGCCCCTCTCAGCACAGCACCTGAGCCGCTGCTCCCCCGTTACCGCGAGCCGGGTTGAGAGCTGGTTGCAGGGCTTGGTGCCTGCTGGGCATGTTTGGGGAGGGCCTGATCTGAAGCCAGTGGAAATCCACAAAAATCCTCTGAGTTTTGAGCGAGGACCCGGATACATAAAATGGGCTGGGCTAAAGATGAGATCTGGCTGGAACAAGCAGTGCTACAGAGCTTGTTTTACAGCTTGGAAAACCGCCGCATCCCCACGAATGGGGTGGTGTTCCTTTCCCATCCCAGAAGGTGTCTCCAGAAAGCCCTCTCTTTGCTCACTTGGCTCTTCATGACCCGCCGCGGAGCTCAGTAGCTGTTTGGCACGATGCAGCGTTCCCCCCAGCACCCCCTCACACCTCTCCACTCCGATCACAGCCTTGAATCACTGTTGGCCTATTCCAGGGGGTGAAAGCACAGCTCACATACAAGGCGTGACTCGTCTGTTCGCGGTGTAAAAGTGGCCAAGCTGGAAACAGGATCCAGGTCCAGCTCTGCCTCGTTTTATTCCTTCTGTCTCTGGATGTCTCGGGGATTCAGCAGCCTGAGCCACTCGCACTGGAGACATTTTGGTGTCCCAAGACAGAGACATCAGTTTGACCCAGTGTTTCACCCCAGCTTTGCTCTACCACAATCCCTGCAGGAGATGTTGGAGCACCAATGGTTTGTGGAGTTTAGTGATGTGAAATTACAGTGAAAATTATTTTGGAACAGGCATGGTATTTTTCTGACTTCCCTGGTCCTCTTACATGACGAAATTGAGCCTAGTGGTGAGTAAAGGACAAGGAGGAGAGGCCACCGTGCTCTCTTTTACCAATGTGCCGATGGTCTATCAAGGAAGGGTGAATAGTCACCAGAATGGTGCGTCACTCATTGTTCCCCAAAGGTCAAGCTGAGCCGTGGATGCAGCTGCAAGTGAAACAGTGACAGTAATTATTAGGTAACCTTTTTCCCTCCATTTATCTTGGAGTTCTCTATAAAGCCCGTCACTGTCACAGCTAAATGTTTTCCGTTGACACAGTGGTCTGAAGACACCCAACTGCTCATGGAGAGCTCCCAATCCACCTTCCTAAATTTAGCTGATCAGTTGTTTACCATTGACGCTCGCCCTCCGTCACAGCCTTCAGCCTTCCGTGACATTTCTTCAGCTCCGGGCGCAAAAGGACGTTGTGGCCTGGTGAGTTTTTCCTAGATGGGTATTTATTTGAAGCCCTTCATGCTGCAGTTGCTGGTGTCAACTGCTGTATTAATGATGCAGATGTTGCCACCAAGAGGAACAGAGTTGTGCCATGCATGCTTTCCACAAAACGGTAACACTTCAGGTGTAGGAGAGATCTTGGGGTGGCCACCCTGTCCCCTTCTCTTCTCCTGGGCAGGGATACCTGTGGTCAGTCCTGACAAATATCTGCCCAGCCTGGTCTTGAGGACTTCTGGAGGGGGAGGATTTGTTGCCTGTGCTCTCCTGGCCAAGCCACTTGTTCAGCAGCTCCTGGCACGTGGAGGAGCCCTCTGAAACAGCAGCTCTTTCCGTTTGGTGGGTCTGACTGTCAAGGCAGTCTCAGTGACCAGTTCTGGTGATAATGCGCAAAAGGAAAGAGGCTCCAGCTCCTCCTTCCACAAGGCCGTTGTCTTGTCAGGTCTAGCAGGAGTAAAGTGCTCGTCAACGGTGGCAGCAGAAGCAGTGAAATCTAAAAAGTGCCAGATGTGCAGAACGAGAAGGAACCACTTCTATCTGCTTCCTTTTCAGACTTCTCCCAGTATGGGCTTGTTACAGGGCAGAGAGAGAGCAGATAATTTCCCCTGCCTAGAAAATGGTGCTTCACATTCAGCTAATTAATACTTGGTAAATACGAAGTCTCTCAAGTGTGAGTGGAAGACAGCTGTGCAGCTAGCTGTAGCTAGAGAGCAGCCAGAGTAACTAAGGCTGGGATTTCAGCAGACTCCATTAATTAGTCAGAGTCAGGCTCGACTGCAATGTGAGGGGAAGCATCCAAAAAAAAACTTCTGTTGTGCTGGTACTTCTCAAGCCAGGCTTGAGATGAGGAGGAGCTTGGCAGCAGCACCCGCTTCCAGGAGGCTGGGTCTGCTCCTCTCTCCAGCCATACCATGCACTTGTATCTGAATACAACTTAAATACAGCCTAAAATTTCATCTGAAAATCACCACGCAACCAGATCTTTGGCGAATTATGTCCGTTTTCAAAGAAATGTTTTCTAAATAGCTTCTGAGCCCTTAAACAGCTGGGGGCTCTTCTTTCTTCTGTCCAAGGTTGACTTGGATGGCTCAAACTCTGCATGAACGTCCCTGATTTTTGTCCCTGTGAATGACAAGAGGGAAGATGCCCTGGGCACTTTGGAAGGGGTTTTGCTCATGCTATGGGGAAGAGAGGAGGAATACAATTAATGAGTAGGTTCGTCTGGCTTTGGAGATACTTTTAATCCAATTTTGTTTTTTTTTTTTTTTACTGCTGATGAGTTTCAAAAGGCTGAAATACAATGATGCAAGAGGGGTAACGTGTGGGGAAGAAACAAAACCTGCCGTGATCTTGAAAACAGTGCTTTTGTTTCCTGTGCCAATGCCATGGGTTAGAAAGGAAGGAGTCACTTCGCTGTACCCCCTGCATCCAACCCCCCAGGCTGGAGCACAGCCCCGGGGCACCACAGCACCAGCGCTCAAAGCTCAGGATAATCAACCCCAACATTTGACCAGCACTTTGCACAGGTATTTTTTACTGATCCCAGTGGGCTGAGGAACTCTCGGAAAAAATATGGAGAACTGAAGGACCCCAGCTACCTTTCTAGCAGCCTAAAGGTGCGATGGGCTGTGGCGGTGCCAGTGCAGCAAGTCATCTGTGCTGGAGGCAGGACATAGTTTCGCTGATGCTGTGCCTTTTATTTAGTGCACTTAGTGCTTTCCGGCAACATCCATGGCTGAAACGAGTAGCCTGTAAGACAACCTCAGCTTTCTTTCACTCCTGCGCTCTGCCACTTGCCTACTTCTGAATCCGGGCTGTTAGGCTCATAGGGATAAGCTGGTAGATGCGTGGAAAGTTAAAAATCCTGGCGAGTGGAAGAACCACCCCAAATTGTGCGGCCGATGGCTTTTTCAGTGCTATGGTGAGCAATGAGCTGGGGTGCTGCCTGGGGAGTGGATACCACCAGCATAGGCTGCCCCGTGGCAGGGGCCCTGGAAGATTTGTGTTGCTGGGGGGCAGAGCTGCACAGCCTCTCCTTTACTCTCTCCCAGCCATGGTTTCCTGAGCCAGTCTGGCCCATCCTTGGTGCCAGCCCTTTCCTCTTCCTTGCTCATCAGCGCAGAGAAAACTTTTCAGGTCATGAGGTCCTGCTGCTTCCAGCCCTCTGGAGAAGACTAAGACTTGATATTGATGCCCTCATGTGTGATTCGCATAAAAGCCTGATGTCAGGAGGAGAAATCTCTGATACAACCCTTGGCTGGACCATATCAGGAGTTTTTAAGTAGAGATCTCCGCTGTTATCTGAGAAACAACCCTGCAACCTTGCCAAAAAAATCTGATTGTGTGATCTATCCCGTTTCCTTTGCAAGGCTCAGTTTCCCAGACTCTTTCTTTTATGTGAGATTTTCTGTTTGCACTCTTTTCCACATAAAAGAAAACCAGAAAACTTTTTAAAAAATGTGCTATCTGTCTCGGCTCAGCAGCTGAACGTATGCTTTGCCTTCAAGTTATCAAAATTCCCTTAGATGTTTCTCTTTACTGAAAACCTGCAGTTGAATTAAGGGGTTTCAGCTGTGGTGGTGGGTTATTTTTTTTCTCCAAAAGCTTTAGGTCTTCACTGCAAGGATTTCATATGCTGGAAAGAATTAAGCTCTTCCCTGCTACGCTGAATATGTGGAGCAAGGGGGAGCGGTGCGGTGCGGGTCATGGCAGTGGGCTGAGCTCAGTTTGTTGCCGAATTAAAGCCTGGCTCTGTAAGCAGCACGATGGTCTCTCATTTCTAAAATCTGACGACGCTTTCAGATAGGAGTTGGTTTGAGAACCGGGGCATGGGTGAAAGCTGGAGGGAACCATCCAGCCTTTTCTCTTGCAGAGGAGCCGTCCCCTCCTGCCACTGGCTGTGCCTCAACACCCATGCGGGGAAATGGCTTTAGACAGAAGAACAACCTCCGCTTGTTTTCCTTGCCCAGAGTTTCACAGCCCTCTCTAGAACTCCCTGTCTCAATCTTAGCAAACCCCTTCCTCAGCGATGAGCCCTTCTTGCCCCACCGGCTGCTTCGCAGAGGCAGCTGGAGGAAGCATTTCCCCAGGGACAGCGGGGGGGGGGGGGGGGTCAGGGCACTGCTGGAGCCCAAATTTTCCTCCCGGGGGGCCAACTTGGAGCAACCTTGGGTCTTCACCAGTGGCGGGGTGGGTGTGCTGGGGCAGCGCGACACTGCTGGGCTGCCGACCCAGAGCCATCCCCGCTGTGTGCTGGGGCTCTGCTCCCCGCAGAGCAGGTGCTGGGGACCCCACGGTCCCCTCTGCCCCTTCTCTCCCCAGCCCGGGCACACCTGGGGACACGTCCCTGAGCCCCACGGAGGCAGCGACTGTCCGCTCTCAGCCCCCAGGAAAACTTTGCGTTGGAGGGAGGGGGACAGAAAAAGCAGCAGGCTCTGCTGGGGAAAACTGCTCCAGGGATGGGAAAATGAAGCTTTTTGCGGGCTCATCTCCATGCCAGACCCCAGGAGATGTGAAGTGAATACCTGGGGCATCCTTCAGTGTCTCGGGGCATGTTTGAAGGCTGTGCTGAGCAGCGGGGAGGAGGGCAGGGGAAGGCCATCCCGCTGCTCCGTGGCCCAGCCTGGCTCTCCCCGTGGGATGCTGGCACAGCATTTCCCTCACCACGCCCGGAGTCGGGCATCCTGCCCTGCCCCAGCTCCCACGGCGTTAAAGCCAGGCTTGGAGCCATCTCCCATCCCCTAAGCCTGCTCCCCAAAGGCCTGTGGGCTCTGTGAGTTTGGGGGAAGCACCTCACACCCCCCTTTTCTCCCGGTCGAGAGACAAAAATAAGAGGCACCAGCACCCAGCAGGATGGGCAGTCCCACCTGACAACTGCCCTCATCTCCCTGCCGCCGATTACGTCCCTGCTCTGCGCACGTCTGAAGTTTTCTGCCTTCTTCTCATCTTTAATTAAGCACTTCTGTCGGCCGAGCCTGCTCGCTGGATCTGAATTATGTTATTTTTTTTCCCTGTAGCCATGACAACGCTTCCCCTGGGCAGGCTGCGCTGGAGCCAGTGACAAACCCCACGTGTGGCTGTTTGTTTGGGCCTGGAAATTTCCCTGCCGTTGGGGAAAACTTGGGAAAAGAAAATCCCCCAATGAGCCAGCGGGCGGCAAGGGGAGCGAGCGTGAGAAATGTTGCTTTTTGGGCTGAGCATCGCTCCCATCCCTCCAAGGAGAGCCCCTCCAGCAGGGATGGCTAAGCTTTGATCTGAGATTTCCTTGGTTTTTCCTTCAAAAGGTGGGAGCAGGGTCTGGATTGCTCGTCCTCGTGGTCGTGGGTGACTGCCCTGCTGCTCCCGTGGCGTGGTCGCTCGCTGGCGGTGGCACTGGGACAGCCTCCGCCCTGCTCCTCCCGCCGGGACCAGTAAATCCACAAATCTGCCACAAATGAGCCACAAATCTGCCGTCGGGAGCCCGGCGAGGCGGGCGGGCAGTGACAAGGTGCACAGATGCTATGACACAGGAGTGGGATGCGGTGACAGGGATGGGGCTGGCTCACAGGGGTGAGGAGGGCTGGGTGACGCGCGGAGGGATGCAGGAACTTGGGGAAGGGATGGAGGGACAGGCAAGGACGAGGTGGCACGCTGGGGCAGGGTGACAAGGCAGGGCTAGGTGTCAGGACGGGGGTAGGTGACATTAGGGCAGGTGACGTGGGGCAGGGGTGGGTGATGGGGTAGGTGACATAGAACAGGGGTAGGTGGCACGGGGCGGGGGTAGGTGACAAGTGGGTGCCCAGCGCTGTCCCCACCGGTCCCGGTGTCCCTGTCCCCCACTACCTCCCCGCAGTGCCGGTGTCTGGGTGTCCCCGTGTCCGTCGTGTCCCCCCCCCAAACCCCCTCGCAGTATCGTGTCTGGGTGTCCCTGTCATGTGTCCCCTCCCGGTGCCGGTGTCCCTGTCCCCTCCATCCCTCTGCTGTATCAGTGTCCCCGTCGTTGTGTCGTTCCCCCCACCACCACCCTCCAGTGCCGGTGTCCGGGTGTCCCTGTGTCCGTCGTGTCCCCCCCCCAAACCCCCTCGCAGTATCGTGTCTGGGTGTCCCTGTCATGTGTCCCCTCCCGGTGCCGGTGTCCCTGTCCCCTCCATCCCCCTGCAGTATCAGTGTCCCCGTCGTCCCCCCCCCCCCAGTGCCGGTGTCCGGGTGTCCCTGTGTCCCTGTCCCCCCCGTAGTACGGGTGTCCCTGTCCCCGCAGTCCCGGTGTCTGGGTGTCCCGCTGTCCCTATCTCCTCTGTCTCGTGTTTCCCCCACACACACACACAGTGCCGGTGTCCTGGTGTCCCGCTGTCCCTGTCGTTCCCCCCCCCCGTCCCGTCCGTCCCCCTCCCCCCGCAGTACCGATATCCGGGTGTCCCGTTCCCCCCGCTCCCCCGGTGCCGGGTGTCCCTGTCCCCTCCATCCCCCCCCCTCCAGTCCCCTCCCGAGGTGCCGGTGTCCCGGTGTCCCTGTGTCCCGTCCCCCCCCCGGTGCCGGTGTCCGTCCCCACCCCCCCCCCCCCCGCCGCAACGTGCCCGGCCGGTGTCCCGGGGCAGCGGCGCCCCCTGGCGGCGGCGGGCGGCACCGGCGGCGGCGGGTATAAAAGGCGGCGGCGGGCGGGCGGCGGCGGCAGCGGCGGCGGCGGCGGCAGCGGGAGATGGCCGGCCCGCAGCAGGCCCCGCACCTCCACCTGGCCGAGCTCACCGCCTCCCAGTTCCTCGACGTCTGGCGACACTTCGACGCGGACGGTCAGTCCCGGGACGCGGGTGGGAGGGGGTTGGGGATCCACCGTCACCCCCCCCCCCCCCCCCCCCAAAACCGGCGGGGAGGGCACCGAGCATCCCCCGGGAGAGCGAGGGGGACACACACACGGTGGAGAGTCCCCGGACATCCCGTCGAAGGGCGGGGGGGGGGGGGGGGACAGCCCAGAGGAGGAGCCGCCGCAGCCCGGGGAAAACGGAGAGCCCCCCCGGGGCACAGCCCCGTCGGGGGGGAGCTCCGGGATCGGGGAGACAATCGGCCCCCCAGGACCTCCCCGTCGGGAAAGGAGGGGGCAGCTCCCCCGCCGGAGCCTGCCGGGAGCCCCCAGCCCGTGGGACGTTGAGCCTGGGGGTGTCCCGGGTCTCCTTTGCACATCCCCGGGGTGCCGGATCCCCCGGGGCGCGGGGTTCGCTCACGGTGTCACCTCTGGGTCCTGCCCTTCCTGGGGTGTCCCCTCCCAGGAAACACCTTCCCCCCCCCCCCCCCACCTCCGCGGTGCCTCATCCTCAGCACCTGGGTTGCCTGGCAGTTTGGGGGGCCCCAGGGTCACCCCCTTGCCCTGGAAGTGAGGATTGACAGAGGGGGTGTCCCTTGTCCTGAAAGCAGGGTGAGAAATGGCTCTTCCATGGCTGGAACGCTCCGTCCCTCCCCGCCTGCCCCCCAGCCCCACAAAAACTCCCCCCGGGGACGCAACGGCACCGGCCATGGCCCCAACGAGGGTGTCCCCTCCCCACGGAGTCACAGCTGGGCGTGCCACCCCCGCTCCCCGTGGCTGCCAGCCCCCCAAAAGCAGGGGGTGGGGAGGGGGGAAATGTAAAAAGCGGCATGGTTTTGGTGGGAAAATAGTTTTTTTTTTTTTTTTTGGCTCTGTGGTGTAGTGAAGGAAGCTCAGCCCGCTGGGGAGAGCAGCCCCAGGGAAAGCTCTTGCCCTTCCCCGGGTCTCCCCGTCCTTGCGGGGAGGTTTGGGGGGGTCAAAACCCTCCTGGAAACTGCGTCACGCAGCGTCCCCGGCTGCGCCGCTGAGGCCGGAGCTCAGCCCGCGCTGGGTGCCCTCCTGGCCGCCCCGTCGGGGCCCCTCCTGCAGCCCCCCGCAGCGCCGGGGACACGGGCACAGCCGTCCCCGTCCCCGCCGGAGCGGGCACGGGGCAGGTGGGACGTCCGTGTCCCCAGTGGGAGTGGGCAGCTCCTGGCGTGGGGGGTCCGGCTGCGCCCTTGGATGTGCGCCGTCATCTCCGGATCGCGGGGGCAGGCACTGGATCTGGCTCGGCCTGCGGCCCCCCCCCCCACCCCACCCCCCCGGGCAGGGCCGGGCCGTGGGTGCCCCGTGGAGGGACTCGGGCGTCAGGGGACATGGTGGCCTTGACGAGGACGATGCTCGGCCCCTTCCCTCTGCCGAGGGGCATGGGATGACAAAGGGACCCGGGGTTCATCCCTCTGCGGACAGACCTGCCTCACCCAAGCTCTTCCCTGCGCTTAAACCCCTCCGACGGGGCTTTCACCCGCTTCCCCTTAAGGCTCCTCACACCCTGGAGATGTCCCCGTGGGTGTCTTTGACGTCCTCGCTTTGCCAGCCACGGCTGCCCCGTGGCTCCGCGGCGCAGGGAGGCTCCGAGGTGCAGCTCATGGACCAGCCGTGGCTCTCCGGAGGGGATTTTCCGTGCCGCTCCGCAGACACGGATCAGACCTGTCCATGCTGCTGCTCAGGGGAAACCAAGCTACCGGCCACTGCTTTTTCTTGGCATTATTCCTTTTCCTGGCTCAAAACTTGCTGATTTTTTTTTTTTTTTTTTTTTTTTTTTTAAACGACTGAATTCAAAGGAGCTTGGGGCTCTCCCACTCCTGCAAAAGCAAAGCCGATGCGAAGGGCAATGGAAAGCCAAACCCCTCAGTGGCTCACACCAGCACCCCAACATCGCCTGAACCCCTCATGCCCTCCTGGGAGGGACCCTGGATGTGGCCATCAGAGAGGAG